CTCATCGTCCCGCTGTCATACCCCTCGAAAGGGGCGTTGGCTTCAAGGTGCCTGGGCCGCCCTGTCACCCGGCCAACGGTAACACACCGACCAAAACCCACAAACCGGGAAGTCAGTGTAGGTAGGGCTGAGAATGTCAAGGCTCACAAGCATCAAAATCATGAGCATGAAAAGACAACACTTATGATTATCAACGGCCTCCCGTACAAAAGGGCTTGCACACTTCAGCAGATACCTGCCAAGCAAGGACTGTGGCCACCCCAGCAGGCACATTAGCCCATTCGTCCTGCTGTCATCTGCCGGCACTGGCAGGTTGGCCCCAAGGCAGCCACATTCCCCAGCGGTGCAAAGACCCTTGCCCCACACCCGGCCAATGGTGTGAGAGGTGCCTGTGTCATGTGCCGGGCACCCCTTCGGTAGGGCCATCACCACGACCCACAGGAACCCAACAGCCTCCCACCAGCACGATACTCCGGTCTATCGGCAAGAGGCCATAGGCACGGGGTGGGCCCTGCCCCCGCACGATATGACCTCGTGCCTCCAGATAAGCAGGGGTGCCAGCGAGCACATTAGCTCATCGTCTCGCTGTCATTCGCATCGGGCTCGTTGCGAGTTGGCCCCAACACCCCATGTGCTTTCTAGCCGGACCTGCACCCCACACGGCGGCCAACCCGTGTGCAGAGATTTGTGAAGAGCCCGAAAATCTCTGTTGGTAGGGAAATCACACCATGCAAACGACAGACTGCCGAGCACCAAAGCATCCATGCCGCATTGCTTTTCCTAGCTACAGCTTTTTGTTGATGCTTCATCGTCATATCTAGCCAGCAAGCTGCTCAAATCAGCATGTTCAGCATGAGATATCTTAAGGCAGCAGCCCCAAAATCTTTTATCCTACCGAGAGCTTGAAGCCCGCTTCAACACTGTGTTTTCGCGCTTGGATAGTGCTGAGACGGATATTGCAGTGTTGCAAAAGACTAAGAGTGTGTCTGGACAACAGGGTGTGGACCTGCTTATGGAGGTGCAATGCCTTGGCAAGGTCCTCAAAGAAGCCCTCGAGCCGCTGAATCGCCTGGAGCACTTGTGTTGGAGGGACCGCTTCACAGAGTACATAGGATCCATGAACCCCCTCTCCCTAAACCTCCAAGCCCCTGAACCCCTAAACCAAAACATGACATGGCATGACATGACTGAAGTAACCCCTAAACCGCAACATGTCAAACCAAAACATGACATGGCATGGCATGAGTGAAGTAACCCCTAAACCACAACATGTCGTGGCATGACATGCATGATCTAAACCCCTAAACGAGAAAGTAACATGGGATGGCATGTATGATCCCTTAAACCCTAAACCCCTAAACCAGAACATGTCGTGGCATGACATGAGTGAAGTAACCCCTAAACCACAACATGTCGTGGCATGACATGCATGATCTAAACCCCTAAAGCAGAAAGTAACATGGGATGGCATGTATGATTCCTTAAACCCCTAAACCCCTAAACCAGAACATGTCGTGGCATGACATGAGTGAAGTAACCCCTAAACCACAACATGTCGTGGCATGACATGCATGATCTAAACCCCTAAAGCAGAAAGTGACATGGGATGGCATGTATGATTCCTTAAACCCCTAAACCCCTAAACCCCTAAACCAGAACATGTCGTGGCATGACATGAGTGAAGTAACCCCGAAACCACAACATGTCGTGGCATGACATGCATGATCTAAACCCCTAAAGCAGAAAGTAACATGGGGTGGCATGTATGATCCCTTAAACCCCTAAACCCCTAAACCAGAACATGTCGTGGCATGACATGCATGATGTGACCCCTAAACCACAACATGTCGTGGTATGGCATGTATGATGCAACCCCTAAACCCCTAAACCAGAACATGACATGACATGGCATGACATGCATGATGTGACCCCTAAACCACAAAATGTCATGCTATGGCATGTATGCTGCGACCCCTAGACCCCTGAAGCAGAATATGCCATGGAATGGCATGTATGATGTGACCCTTGAACCCCTAAACCCCTGAACCAGAACATGATGTGGCATGCCATGCCTGATGTGACATGCATGATGCACTAGCCCGAAACCCTTAAACCTGACCTCTAAACCCGACAATCTCAACGGCCCTAGATCTCGCAACTGTTACTACGAAGCTACAGAACACAACTGGTTGCAATCTGTGTTTAGCTACACAAGCCTGTATTGAAGTCATCTGAAATGATGGTTTTGCCACAAGTTACAGAACGCAACTGGTTGCAATCTGTGTTTTGCCACAGAAACCTCTATTCAAGTCATCTGAATTGATGGTTTTGCCACAAGTTACAGAACGCAACTGGTTGCAATCTGTATTTTGCCACAGAAACCTGTATTCAAGTCATCTGAATTGATGGTTTTGCCACAAGTTACAGAACGCAACTGGTTGCAATCTGTTTTTTGCCACAGAAACCTGTATTCCCGTCATCTGAATTGATGTTTTTGCCACAAGTTACAGAACGCAACTGGTTGCAATCTGTATTTTGCCACAGAAACCTGTATTCAAGTCATCTGAATTGATGGTTTTGCCACAAGTTACAGAACGCAACTGGTTGCAATCTGTTTTTGCCACACAAACCTGTAGTCAAGTCATCTGAATTGATGTTTTTGCCACAAGTTACAGAACGCAACTGGTTGCAATCTGTATTTTGCCACAGAAACCTGTATTCAAGTCATCTGATTTGCCACAAGTTACAGAATGCAACTGGTTGCAACCTGTTTTTTTGCAGCAGAACCCTGCAACTAAGAATCATTTCAATTCATGGTTGTGTGAGAAAAATACAGAACCCAACCGGTTGCAAGCGAATGCCATGCCTCGTCGTCGGGCGCAAGCAGTCTTGTGCCACCACAGGTGTAGGGTTTGGGGGTTTAGGGTGTAAAGGTTAGGGCTCAAAGGCCTGCAACGACAGGGTTAGCGGCGCTAGGGTTTAAGGTCAAGGGGTTCAGGGCCTCAGGTTCAGGGTTTATGTGGTTCGGGGTTTCGGGCATAAGGTCCAGGGGTTCAGGGTTACCAGGGCTGAGGTGAAGGTCGATGGCATGTGCAAATTGGGGGCTTGGCAACTATTGCTATGGAGGAGTTTAGCCTTACAATTCAGGATGAGGCATCATGTTCAGAGCTCAGGGGAGTAGGGCTTCGGGGGTTTGGGTTTAGGGTTCAGGGTTAAAGAATTTGGGCATTTAGGGTCTTGCTTCGGGCTTCTGGGCAAGCACTCTAAACCCCAACCCCAAAACCCGAGCCGACCCCCACCAAGGCACCCTGAACAACTCAAGACCTGCATAAAGCCCCACTACCTGCCTAAGCCAAGAGGGGGCTTGTTCAACCCCCACCAAGGCACCCTGAACAACTCAACACCTGCAAAAAACCCCACTACCTGCCTAAGCCAAGAGGGGGCTTGTTCAACCCCCACCAAGGCACCCTGAAAAACTCCAGCACCTGCCTAAAAACCCCACTACTTGCCTAAGCCAAGAGGGGGCTTGTTCAACCCCCACCAAGGCACCCTGAATAACCCTATCACCCCACTAAGCCAAGAGGGGGCTTGTTCAACCCCCACCGAGGCACCCTGAATGACCCCGAAGACTAATATCCCTGCACCCAAAACCATCTAAGCCCTAGCAACCAAAGAGTTTAAGACTTGGGATTTAGGGAGTCGGCTTAGGGTTTAAGAGTTTAGGGTCGTGTTCATAGCTGCTGCAAAACTGTTCCATGAGTGTGATGTGTGGTGTTAAAAAACGGTTTCCCATGTGATTTGCTGACAACAAGTTTGATTTGGCAAAACGACAGTTGAGCACACCAGAGGAAAACATGCAAAACATTTAAAATATGCACAAATATTTCGGTGTATGTGTGTGCCCAAAGCATGAAAACATGTGTGTTGGCTCCACAAAACTCAGCTTCAAAGCATGACATAATTGGTGTTGTTTGTGCTTTTTTTGCTTTCTTTCCACGGCAGGACTCGGAGGGTGAAACACCCAATCGGAAATGAAAACCCCAAATGACACGATAGTGGCTTGTTTGTCGAGCCACACTGCAGTGTGAGGCTTACTCGTTGCAACATGCCATAGAGCATGGAGATCGCATTCGAGCAGCAGTACTCGAAGTACTCGGCAAACTGCCCCGGTCACAGAACTGGGAAGAAGTCGCCAAAAGATCGATGTTCCACCTGCAGTATACGGACTGCAGGTCCCTTTCGGATCACTTGACAGCGTCGATTCCAAAGTCCTGCGAGGATAAACGCCTTGCCATTGAGATGTCTGGACTTCGCCAAGGACTCTGGGAGGAGGACGAGCTAACGCACGTCCTGTACCATCCCTGTGGCGACGAGTTGAGATGGATACCGACGCACTTACAACTTGCGGATTGTCTCACTAAGAGTATGAAACCGCTTTTGATCAATCACAGCATTGATCGCAATCTCGTACAGGTACTCGATGTGCCCGCGCAAGCCGCACACAAAACCGAGAGTACCGAAGGCACTCCGCTTCACGATTGAAGAACTCAGCCTAGAGCCTTGAGTCGCTGTACTCGGCTCGGTTGACCGAGCAAGCTCCCGGTATAATCCGGTGAAGTAGGTTTGGTCCAAAGCGACCAAAATTCGAGCATGATTCGGACGTCACACTACAGATAAGACGGGTGTGAAATTTCCCTGTCTTGAAGGGCCGTGTTGACTTGTCCTCATGCGAGCGTAGTTTTTCATGTTCAGTTCTGAATGCACCCTGTACGACAGACGTCTTGGGCTCAGATCAAAAAGTGTGCTCGTTGTGTGGTTGGACACTCACTAATCCAGTTCCTGCTTCAAAACCCTAAACCGCTAAACCCCTTAACCCCTAAACCCCCAAACCCTAAGACCCCTAAACCCCTAAACCCCTCAACCCCAAACCCCTAAACCCTAAACCCTAAGACCCCTAAACCCTAAACCCTCTCAAGGAAAGCCTTTGAGTGCCCCCCAAGGAAGGCGCCAAAAAGCACGCCGGTCTGTTCCGATGATATGGCTGAGTATACCACGTGCAGGCGCCGGGTTTAGGGCTTTAGGGTTTAGGGGTTTAGGGTTCAGGGGTTTAGGGTTTAGAGGTTAGAGGTTTAGAGTTTAGGGTTTAGGGGTTGAGGGTTTAGGGTTTAGAGGTTCAGAGTTTAGGGTTTAGGGTTCAAGGCTCATGGGGCTTTGTCAATCTTACCTTAAACTGCCAAACCCTACTTTTTTGTAGGTTCTTATTAAAAACGCAATATGGGTTTTATAGGGACCCTACAAAGAAGTAGGTTTTGGTAGGTTCAGGTCGTTTTGCAACTTATATGCCGAAATTACGTCTACAAGGACCCAGAGTAGGCCATTATTCCCGTTTTTAGGGTTTAGGTTCCCGTATAACCCCTTCAAACCAAAAGGGCACCCTTTTTATTCCAAGGTTACTCTTAGGTCTAGTCTTGTCTCCAGTGTAGGTTTTTGGTTTAGGACTCCTTGCCTCCGCTTCGGGTGAATTTGGTGTGAGGGTATAGCGTCCATTACTGTTTTGGGTGGGGGCCTACGTTGTTTGAAGTTTCTTGTCTCGTCTCATACAAGAACTATAATGGAAACTTAGTAGGGTTTACGGTCGAGGGCTTGGGGTTTAGGGACGTAATATAGGGGCCTTAATAATCATTTAATTGCCTATACTTTTTGGTGAGTTTCTTATTGTATATTGGCGGTCTAATCATTATCAGTATATTGGGCTTTCACGGCCGTGTGGATTGGCACTGACCCGCTTATGACCTTGGTTCTTTCCGTTTGTGGCTCGTTTTGGCTACCCTGTACTCTAAACCCTTAAACCCCTTAACGCTAAACCCTAAACAGTTTGGTGTTCCGTTTTAGCTTCCGTCGGGGCGCCTGGGCCAACTGAAAGGGCGGGTTTAGGGTTCAGGGTCTCGAATCGGAACGCGGACACAGTAGATCGACACCTCCAGAGCGAACCGATAACAGAAACTCCGCACCGACCGGAAGCGAAGAACCAGTTGCATTAGCCCTGACTTCAGGAGGAGCGCAGACGATTGCGAATGCTGGTGGTTGAATACGGGGCCTTATTGCGAGAACATCGGGACCGTCCACCGCTTCGCGCCCCTGGCCTGCTGTGGGGGGTCGGAAGTTTTAGTAAACGGATCATATTATTCACAGCTTGATGAGGGTAATGTAGGATTTTGTATCGTGTTTTGCACTATGTATTCACGAATAGTCTCCCCCTTATGGTCCCTATTGATTTATTGTTGCTGGATTTGTTTGCCGCATGTTCCCTCGGTGCAAAAAACCCCACGAGGAAGTGCTGCGCGTTCGACCCGCAACAGTTCGTGGGCAAGGACTGCCACGCTTGCACTGACACCAGGGCAGACGGCAGTGCCATTTGCAATGACAAGGATCCTTGTGCAAAATGAGTACATGGGTCGACTAGCATGGCACAGCCTCAGTAGATGTATGTGTGTGTATATGTATATGTATATATATACATTCATATATGTATATATATATATATATATGTATGGGCGTGTGGTTGTCACCCCCTGATTACGTTTCACTATCTTCCCCACTGCACCAACGAAGTACGGACCCGTAGAATCGCAAATTACTAAGGCTCTGAGGCGGTGTTTTGCTGCAATCGACTCGGAAGTCGCAATGATTAGGGCTGCGGTTTGTGGCAAGGCATTGGGTAACTGTATCTTGCTATCAGGGAATCGCGATTGAATGACGAATGCTAAATCTTCAAGTGCAAGCATATAAAGATGATGTCCACACTAACATAAACTACGCAGTGTATAGTACATACTGCAACTCAAGGAAATATGCCAGAATGTAACCTAACATGATATTATGCATGACACTGCAATCACTACAACACCTTCAGAACGACATAGAACAGTAAGTTGCATGGGTTTGCAGCCTATGGCTTTATAAATTATCGTGCTACTACGAAGCGGGTCATGGTATAATGCTGCCCCTTCTCATGCGTAAATCATATGAAACGGCATCAACTTTCAACTGAATGTATGTTCTATTGTCAGGTACTCTAAACGAACGTCATCAGATACCATGTGACATAGCATACTATATCTTACTCTACTACAGTACTAAATAAGGTTCAAAAAATCAGAACGAATCATAGCATGATCTTCAAGATACTGCAACATTTCATAGAAAAGGACATGGTATGGATGAGACGTACATGGTCTAACGGCTTTTTATGTTGATGTGCACATCTGTTAATGTCTTGCTTCATCCAGCATGATGAAGCGAGTTAAACTGTATGAAATACAGCATAACAGATTACATGACTCAGTATGCCATATGTCATATGTTTAGACTTTGAGGCAGACAGCCGTTAATATTTGATTTCTAACTCAAGTTGCCTAACATATCACCAGACAAACACTATAAGGCACTTTCTGTAAACTGCACAGCATTATGTACGACAACATATGCCATATAGCGTGCTAGAAAATGATGTTGTAGTGGGCCAGTAAGTATCATATCTGTTTATATGTATATATATATATATCAGAACGTAGTATATCAAAGTGGTGTAAGAAAGTAGAGAAGAGTGGAGCATAGTGTAGTATAGTTCGTTGTAGTACATAGTGTTGTATACAGAACAGTATATAGCATAGTACGAGCGAAAATATAGAGTATAGCATTTGAAGTACGAAGTATGGTATGGGGCAAAGCAGGTAAAGTATACATATAGTAGTTAGTGCTGTCTATAGTATACTACGCAGTAGTATACAGCGTTTTTGTGCAGAATACAGAGGATGGCATGTAGTATAGTATATCGTAGAATATTTAGTATAGCTCGTAGTTGTGTATGGTACAGTAAGTTTTAAATTTCAAGTCAGTAGTACAGTTTAAGTACAGGTCAGTCTGTTGCGGAGAGTTTGTAGTATTGTTTAGAATGTAGTTCATAGTAAGTAGTGTAGGTTAGAGTCCATCGTATGGCATAGTATAGTTTTGCTAAACTGCAGGTTCGTGTGTTATTGGTGCCGGACTTACGGCGTCCGACGGCGAGGTGTCCTGGTCCGTTTCGAAACTCCATGTCTGTTTCGAAATAGTGCGGAAAGCTGCACAGCCCCAAGGGTAAGAGGAGGGACCCTTAATAAGGACCCCTAGGTATATACCCTTAATATAGCTATTATATACCCATTATAAAGCCCCATTATAGGGTAGGGGTCCCCATTAAGGGTCCCTCTTTTTCCCCTTTGATCCTCCAGGAACACAGACCACTGGCCCGACTCTGGACCCTGAATCTTGACTACTTGGAGGATCATGGGACTTACTAAATAAGGTTATAAGTACCTTAATTGGGGTTATAAGTATAGTTACCCTAATTATAACCCTAGTTACTAAGTCCCATGATCCTTTAAGTATTCAACACCAGGTGATGCTTGCTTTGGAGCACTCCAAAGGGAGAACCCACTGATCCAACCATTCTGGCCATATGGACGCGTGAGGCCCCAACCCATTAACCCGTTGACCCATTGACCAGAATAATATCGCAATCAGTCTGGTCAAATTGACGTGGAAGGCCCCAACCCATTAACTCATAACCCAATCATTCTGGCCAAATGAACTTGGGGAGTATGGTCCATCCCCACTTGGGCAAATCATTGGGTTAATGGGTTAATGCCTCCCAAGTCCATTTAGCCGGAATGACTGGGGTAATGGATGAATGTGTTGGGGCCTCATGCGTCCATTTGGCCAGAATGATGGAGTTGATGGGTCAATTGGCGAATCGGTTGGGGCCTCACGCGTCCACTTGGCCAGAATGATTGGGTCAATTGGTTAATGGTTTGGGGCTAGGGTGGTGTTTCAAGTTTCGAAACAGACACGGAGTTTTGAAACAGCCCAGGACTCACCAACGTAGAAGGACGCTCGGGCACGACACCTGAAGCAGGCGAACATCCAGTTTACATGAATATGTGTATTTAAATTATATACATACATACATACATACATACATATATATATATATATATGTAGATGTAGACGTAGACGCACATGCATATGCATATATGTGATTATGTGAACATAGATGTATATGGATGTATGCCTGTATGCATGTGTCTGTCTGTGTGTGCGCGTGTGTGTGTGTGTGTTTGTGTGTGTGTGTATGCTTGCACACTCACGCACGCACGCAAGCAGTCGGGCGGGCAGGCAGGCAGGCATGGATGGATGAATGGATGGATGGATCGAGGGTTTGATGGATGTATGTATGCACGTATGTACATATACATAAAATATAAAAACATATACTTAGACAAAAATATGAAGTATCTATATGAAAGTCTGTATTCCCTACATGTAGCTACGCAGGCACATGTGCTACCTACTGCATAAGATCTTCTCGAACTATCTATACTTCATTATGCACTATATACTTCATATCCTACTGGTTATCATGATGTATCATGTTATGGTATTCTAGGTCAGAGAACATAACGGTGTATCCAATGGTTCTGGGGTTCGGCAGCCCTTCTCCACTGAGAATGCCTCTAGGTTTTATCGAGGCCTGGCACCGGGCGGCGTGAGAAAAAAAGCTGTAGGGCTGAACTCGTGTCCCATGCCCGAAGTGGGTTTGTCGAACCCGACACCCAAATCCTCGACCTTAAAATCCGAAACCCTAAACCTAAACTCCAAATCCTCGACCTTAAACTCCGAAACCCTAAAGCCTAAAGCCTACACAAAAAAAACCCTCAACCTTAAACTCCGAAACCAGGCAAACGTCAAACCCCAAGGGCTCCCCAACAGACTGCGGGCCGCATAACGTGGAAATAACCCTGAACCCCACTCCCAAGGAAGCATAAAGATCCCTAGCTGGACCCCAAAAGTATGTAGAATAATAGCCTTTTAGAGGTTTTGGGCCATTATGTTACCGACTTTGGGAGGTCTAGGCAAACCCGAAGCATGATATAAAGCTAGAACCTTGAATCCATAGCCAAAGCCCAAAACCCCTTCAAACCACGTGCGCTCTCAACTGGCCGAGTGCTTTATCGAGCCCAGTAGAGGTGCAGGAGTCCGTTTAGGCAGGGCTTTTGGGTTTAGCCTATGTCAGGGTTTAGTTTGAGGGCTTCAGGGTTCGTTTCCCGCCTTCAGAACCCAACAGCAAACGCATTCTGCTGAGAGAAGCGTGGTTTGTTGTATGCGTGCTAATTTCCTGCTTTTACGCGCTAAACCTCTTACTAATGTTGTTACTGTCTTGTTCCTTCTTCTTATTGCTTTATACTCATGTGCATGCATGCCAACTTCCGAATGCAAGCATATATGTCCTACTGTTGGTAGCCTGTACTCCAATCAAACCAAAAACCTGCCTTGAGAGCTCGGGAATGCTAAGAGCTTTCAGCGGAACTGGCACGAAACCCTGTAATCCCTAAATGCTCGACCCTGAACCCTAAACCCGAACCCGTAAATCCTAAAAAATCACGGGTACCCTGAACCCTAAACGCTACGGTAGCGGAGCTGGAAGCTTCCCCCCTTGCGCGTCGTACGAGCGAAATCTCCTTCAACAGACATACACGGACCGCGGAGCATGGGGGAGCAACTCACATCCCAAGCCCCCTACTGCAGGAACCTGATTAAGAAACCTTGGGCCTTTATTAGGGTTCTTAATATGGATCCTAATATATTGGGGTTATGGGGCCAGGGTTCCTTAATTAATCAGGTTCCTACATTACCTGTTCCCCGAGATAAGCAGGAAATGCTATATCGGGAACTGAAGACAGCAGCCATCATCTAGAACAGTGGAGTTGCACAGAGGGCAGTGCTTCTCACCGAGACCTAAACCCTAAACCCTAAACGCTTCACCCTGGACCCAAGGCCTGTAAGCCAACCACTGAGCCCTGAACCCTACCTCAACCTACCAAAACGTGCTCTTGTTTGTAGGGTAAAAAATTGCATATTGAGGTTTAAAAATGAGAACCTACAAAAAAAGTCGGTTATGGTAGCTTAAGGGATACCCGAAACCCGAAACGACTAACCCGACCGAGGGCTACCGGGAACCCGCTGGTTCCGGTCGGGGGTGGTTCGGGTTTCGGGGTTTAGGTTACCTAAACCCCAAATAAGCTACCTTCTTTAGGGTTCCCTAGTATGATTTCTTTATATAAGTCCCTTAAAAGGTGGGTTGTTTGGGGTTAAGGTAGGGTTTATTTGATATAGGGGTCGGAATACGTGGCAATAATATCCCCTTTGTAGCCGTATGTTTAATCAGAGATCAACTTAAGCAGGGATGCGCGTATGCCGGGGATAGGGTGTATGTTTTGGCAGTTTTCCATGATCAACCCAAATTGCACATTTGCGAGTTCAACTCCCCCAGTTTTGAGATTATGATTTGTGTGCGTATTTTACATGCCGGTGGTGTGTTTTTTACATAGCCAATCGGAGGATTCCAAAA